ATGGATGAACTTCTAGATGAACACCAAAAAAGAACTAATTTAATGTTGGTTGTAAAACAAAAACAGTAGGAAATTAGCCATCAGATTATACAAAATAAACAGAAAATATTGTAATGCAAATTTTTATGTGCATCTTTAAAATATCAGATCATGTTACTTGAACTTTATTGTAATTTATTAGTAGTTGAAAATGCTTAGCAACATTTTTAAAAATATTGTAAGGTGTACTTGACAGTAACTATATCAATCACTTTTTAGATTAGTTAGATTTGCATTTAACTGAAATATAAAGTAAAGTCAAAATAAAGAACCAATAGTTGCTCTTTATTATAATTTAGTCCAATGTAATTTCTATGTTATTAGTCCAATGTAATTACTATGTTATAAATGACTTTGTTACCTATATAGACTTTTTTTTAATTTAGAACAGCAAAAAAGTTAACTAATGAAAATCATATAAACATATTTTTTTAAATGTTGTCTAAATGATTGCCATCATTAATTAAATGTATCTTGAATGGATTTTATAAACAATAATATTAATTGGTGTTTATTTTAATATAATGTAGGGTCCACTCAGACTTTGCACAAATGGTTATTGCATTCATGAAGAATTTTGTTTTTTTTTACATCTACAACACCTAAATTGTGTGCATAAATGAAGACAGCAAGATTTATTTTCTATTTCCATTTGATGCTAAATAAATATCATAATGGTCTTTAGATGCTTTACTAAATCTGTGTCTCCATATATATGTATATACATATATATATATATATATATATATATATATATATATATATATATATATATATATATATATATATATATATATATATGAAAATGATTAACCCTTTGAGCCCGCTAGGCCGGTAAACCGGCTTCAACATTAGGCATATATGTCCGAAAAGCCGGTTTTCCGGCCCGATGATCAAGCGTCATATTCCTTGCGGTCGGTATACCGTTTAATTAAATATAATTAGCGGAAGACTGACTAAAACTGCGCATATGTTTTTTTGAGTGCGGGATTATGATTTTAAAAATTGATTTTTAGGGAAAGTAAAAGTGAAAGTGTTTACATTTCGTAGCAATGCCGCCGAAACGAAAAGCTGAGCCACAGCCGTCGACTTCATCACATAAAGTTGGTGCAAAAGATGAAGCAAAAGACCGAAATATCAACAAAAGAAGTATAATGACTGCATCTCAGGCCATACAACTACTTTTTGATTCTGATGAAGAAGATAATAATCCTGGTCTATATTGTGATGATAGTGACGTTCAATTTGAGACTGAACATAGTGACATTGAAATTGACAGTATCAATGAAACTGTTCAAGTACGTTCTGATGCACGTGGTGTCAAGGACAAAGACTTGCCGAAACGAAAATGTTTACTAGTGCAAAACATGCTAAGTTTTTCTTTGCATCGGGTCGGGCAGTGATAACTGTTTTGAAAGTTATCACACAATAGTGGACTTCTGGCGATGAACTAATATGTCCAGGTATCAATAATAACAAAACGGTTACTAATTGTAAATTGGTTTCCTCTATGTTCTATCAAAACAATAATTATGTGTTCGTTTTATATACATTGTTCTTTTCAAACATAGTAAAAAAATAAAATAAAGAAATTCAGAATCTTGCTACATTGTAGTTTGATCCAGAGTCTGGATACCAAATTTGGCTTGATTATCTCAAACGGTTCAAAAGTTATAGGCAAAAATAGAAGCAGATAAGTGAAAATTGGTTTGGCCCTGGGAGCTCAGGAAATGGGAGAAATTAGGCCAGGGAGGCCAGGGCTCAAAGGGTTAAATGTAGACTATGAAAAGTGTCTAGAAAAATTTGCGATGGAACAATGGAATATTCAGGGAAAGGTCAACACAGAAAATTGCTTGTATACATTGAAAGATATATGTCATCAAGATTTCTATATATTTTAGTAGATGAATAAATAATACTGCCCTGTTAATTATTGTTACATAACTTTCTAAAACTTATAGAAATTAATTCTTTTGAGCACAGGTACACAACACAATTAAGTATTACGTGTCAAATTGTGATGCTCCATATAGGCTTTTAACTCCGATTTCAGCCTGCTTTTCTTTTTGGATTTGCTTCCATAGCCTTTGTCCAACCAAGAATAAACTACAAGGCAGCAGGTGCTTGATTTTTGGAGTTGTCTCTCTTAAATGATTGGCCGTACCCCACCTGTTAAGCATCATCTGCAGGGTGGTTCAAAAACGGGACTTTTCGCTTCAGCTACCATGAGCTTAAACCACCCGACCACGCAAACCTCCTCCACATGTGGTTTGTCAGTAGGTAAACAAAAAGAAAACATTACATGTGTATATATATATATATATCCTATGTATATATACATATGTATTTAAAAATTATATATATATATATATATATATTTATATTTATATATTTATATATGTAATATTATGTTGACACTGACCAGAGTAAACTGTTGTATGACTGTTATTTTTTAGATGCAGTAAAATAGGTTTATAAAATTACATAACACTGCTAGGTTATTTACAGACTTACATTGAATAGGGCATATAGTCACAAATTTAAATTAGTACAGAGACCTATGTAATACATGTATATATATTTCTACATACATATATATATTTACCTGTATACACTTATATATATATATATATATATTTATATATATGTAAATGTAAATGTAGCATAGCCTTTTTATTAATATACAACTAAATGCATGTAGGTCTATTCAAATTCTAGTATCAGTTTAGATGACAAAAAATAGAAGTGTAGTGTAGATATGAGATTAACTGTGTATATGCTGGTACAGTGCGCTTAACATTGGTAGAACTATGGAGCTTAATTTTTGTTTATCTGGTGTTATAAGCTATGTGAGTTAAATGTATGCGTGGACTATAACTCTGTGTAGCCTACTAAATGTGGAATTTCTCCAAATGTTTTTGCCTAAACTAAGATGTGTGATTTATGATGTATATTAAAATATTTTTTTTCTATGAAAATGAGAACAAAAAAGACTAGTAAATAAAAATGACATGTTAGAGTTATTTTACATTTTAAACATAACATTTACAGAATTAAAAATCATAATTTAAATATTCATAGTTTCTCATTTATTAATGTAAAATGTGAAGTTGCTTTATACCTTTATCTGTTTGTTTTTGTAAGTAGAGGCCTATTTATTTGGCACTTTTTGCAACATAAAATAAAATACTTAATTAAAAATCCAATTTTTTAAAATTGTATAGTTTTAGGTACCATTTATCAACTGCAAAAATAACATTTTGTTGTATTTTCTTATTAGTAATATCAACCTCACTTGTCTTAAATTACAAAATCATTATAAGATTAAAGACTAAATTCAAATTTTATTGATAATTGATACATTAATTCCACAACCGGTAATGTACATTTAAGTTTTCTCATCAGAATAACTTTAAAAGATAAATAGTATTAAAAATGTTTCTACAAAATAATTGAGCTGGGTAAAAAGCTGAGTTCAGTCCCTTAATTTACTAGACTATAAAAATGTTTCCATCAAAGAATAATACTCTTGACAGCGTTTTATTTTCTAAAAATGAAACCTCATTGATTCCTGTTTGAGCCCCAGAAAATGCATAAGGGCAGATGAAGTAGAGTTAATCTGTTTTTCAATGACCTCGGCAACACTATGCCTAACCACCTTAGTTTCCCCAATGTGAGTCAGGTACCCAATAGAGCTGGGTTGACTCAGGGCCATCTGACAATCATGGCTCTTAACCTCCAGACCTTTGGTTTAGCAGCCAAACACAACCATTCAACCACCCCTTCCCATCCAACAACTAACGAGCCCTGATCGTAATTACTTTTAACGAACAGTCACCACTTACTAATATTTAATTTTCTGCTATACAACGTTGCTAGATGTTTATGTAGAAGTGATTTCATTCACAGAATTCCCCTGTCAATATTGATGTTTTAATCAAACAATTAGCCTTAAAATATTTTCCCATTTTTCATAAACTATAGGGACCTGATAATATTTTATTTTCCACCTGAAAATAATTTATTTTCCAAAAACTAGTGTCCTTTATCAATATTTCACTTTTTATAACGGCAATTTTTAAACATAATCCCCGTAACTTTAATCCCTTAACTATGAGCAGGTCCCAAACCTAGGTCTATGTAGTTAAACAGCTTATGCTCTGATCTCGTTTTAAAGTCTATTTTTATTATTCAGTTACTGAAAGAAAACAAATTCATTCAGAGTATGTGTAAACTATATTTAAAACATAAACACAATTTTGCTCTTAATGTCAACAAATGAAAACAGATGTTTCTTATTTTTTTCTTTGTTTTAAGCACACAAAGCATACCAACACATTTTTTTATACATAGTATACCAAGTATAACATATTATTATTATTATTTAAAATTAGCTGCATAAAAATTTCAATATAAAAAAATTATCATTTATGTAAATAGAAAATAGAAAATAATATACAATATTATTTTTCAGTTTTTATATTATATAATACCACTGCAGAAAATATTTCAAAATATGCAATGTAATGTAAGATAAAAAAGGGTTTCGATTATTACATTTTTAGACAAATGCTTCATGGAAATATTATATATTATTATGTACAATTTTATTTATACAGGTCTACACAAAATATAATGTAAACAAAATTAATTAGGCTCTAAATTATTAAATCTATTACATGCAAATAATTATATAATAATTATATAATATAATATATAATTATTATATAATATTTATTATATAATTATAAATAATTATTATATAATAATTATTATATAATAATTATATAATATTATTATATAATTATATAAGAAGCACACAGAAATGTCCTCCATTAATATAAAATATAAACTTATTTATTGTGGGTTTTTTAACTTTTGTTGTGCATATTGTTAAAACTTATTTTTTAAACTGAGTTGATAGTCAATATTATGCTGGGATTTATCAAATTCGCCTCATGTTATTCTTTAGGAAAGGCATAACCGGTGTAGTTACTGTCTGTGTTCCCTCCACTGTGAGGGAAGTCACATGACAAGTCATGTGATCCATACATGAAAACAGTGGCACCACTACTGCCAGGACATGTGCATGCATTAAATTTGTATTTGATTAGCGTTTCAGAATTTACAATAGTGTAATTATCATCATAATCATCGTCATAGAAGTCTTCAAGATCATTCTCATCATAAGGATCATAAAAGTCTTCTTGATCAGATTCATTACAGGAATCATCAAAGTTTTCTTGATCAGATTCATTACAGGAATCATCAAAGTTTTCTTGATCAGATTCATTACAGGAATCATCAAAGTCTTCTTGATCAGATTCATTACAGGAATCATCACGGTCTTCTTGATCAGATTCATTACAAGGATCATCAAAGTTTTCTTGATCAGATTCATTACAAGGATCATCAAAGTTTTCTTGATCAGATTCATTACAAGGATCATCAAAGTTTTCTTGATCAGATTCATTACAGGAATCATCAAGGTCTTCTTGATAAGATTCATTACAGGAATCATCAAAGTTTTCTTGATCAGATTCATTACAAGGATCATCAAAGTTTTCTTGATCAGATTCATTACAGGAATCATCAAAGTTTTCTTGATCAGATTCATTACAAGGATTATCAAAGTTTTCTTGATCAGATTCATTACAGGAATCATCAAGGTCTTCTTGATCAGATTCATTACAAGGATCATCAAAGTTTTCTTGATCAGATTCATTACAAGGATCATCAAAGTTTTCTTGATCAGATTCATTACAGGAATCATCAAGGTCTTCTTGATCAGATTCATTACAAGAATCATCAAAGTTTTCTTGATCAGATTCATTACAGGAATCATCAAGGTCTTCTTGTTCAGATTCATTACAGTAATCATCAAGGTCTTCTTGATCAGATTCATTACAAGGATCATAATCTTCATAATCAGCATTATCAGAATTATACTCTGAATCACCATCAGAACCACATACTTGTGTATATGTGTGTTTGATTTCACTCATCTGCTCCGTCCATTCACCAATAGAAATGTGTTTGGGACAGCCGTGAGGGTGAGACACTAGCACCACCAGCTTCACGAGTTCACTCCCTGCCTGCATCTCTTTGATCACCTTCTCCCGACAAATTCTGTAGCGAATTGTCATGTTCAGTAACTTGTCAATCAACTCCACATCATGTGTATAGCAAGTGACCTTTGATGTGTCTCCGTCTATGTCAGAATTTGCTACCAGCCCAGGAAAATCAACCCAGGATCTAACCTCATCACTGTCATATCCCCATCTGAACATTGCCTGTTTGGCTTCATCACTATCAAACACAACATGAGCTGCTGTATAAACTGTTATCAGACCCCATATTTTATGATGAGACTCTGAGTTTTTACAAGATTCACATGGACATTTCTTATCACCTTCTTCAGTCTGCTTTATGATAGAATGGACTCGTCCTGTTCCATATCTAACACACATTTTATTTTCTCCCCTGTCCTTATAACCAGGGTATGGACTCCCCTTATGAGTTTCTGGCCTACGTAAGCTTACGTTAAAGGTTGTTATCCTTACAGTGAGAAATGCCATTGCTTTTATAAACTTTACCATACATTTTTTCCTAAACTGCTCAGGTAGTTTGTCAATGCTGAAATCTTTCACAGGCACAAACTGGTCATGGCAGGGATTTTTCCTGCAGTTGTCTGAATATTCTTGTAGTTCTATTTCTGGATCATAAGTTACGTCGGCTTCATACTGGGGTGGTCCTGTGAAGAAGAAAAAAAAACATTTTTAACAACTACATTCTTGAAGAGTTAAAAATTAAAAGAACACACATTGTCGCTAGATGTTTAGCAAAGTTTAAAGACATTTATAAGATGTAAGTATGGATTAAGTTTGGTTTCATAAAAAGAGTTAATCTAAATTCAATAGTTTGTCTTAAGATAGAAACTAGGCCTAAATATTCCTTGTACTTTAGCAATTTACTTTAGCATTTGCAATTTAATAAATATAAAACAGTTTTCTGATCTTTCTGGAAAGCTGCAGTATTGCTTATGGTTTTAAAAGTTAGAAAACGTTACATTATTTATTTATTATAGCATAAGTTATTAAAATTTGGGGTGGTTAAAAGTAGTTAAAGGTAGTTATCCTTACAGTAAGAAACACCTTTTAAAAAGTACAATTTACAATATTTAAAATAAAAATTTTGATTACTTGTTTTTTTTTTTAGTTTAATGTATAGCACCCCTACATAAAATCCATTGCAAACCCCTTTCTGTAGGTTGAGTAGATGTGGTCTATAGGCACTATTGAATATTCCTAGCAGTTATTGGCTCTTAAGAGAACACTGCTGAGTTTGCTACTCTTTTAATGAGTTTTTAATTTGTTTTTGTTTTTTCTTTAAAAGCAATGCTATAGGATTCCTAAAATAAAATGCCATTATTGTAATAAAATGTGTATTGAATCTATTGTTCTTTTTTTACTTGTGTGACAATCACATAAGCTTTCTTGTCTAATCTGCACAATTTTATTTTTAATAATTTAAACTGCCTTACAGAGAGTTAATTTCACGTCTATTTTTAATTATTTTAAAATAATGTATGTTTTACTTACCAGAACATGCTGATGTAGTCACTTTATCTTCAATATCTGTAGGAGTGATTTCAGGATCAATGTGCACTTCTTTGTTATCTTTAATGTCCAAGGATCCTTCATTTTTTGATGCTTCATTACTACTAGATTCACTTGTAATAGCAGGGATGTCGATTACACTAACGCCACTATCAGAAGCAGCTTCTTGACAGGGTACAAAAGTTTCCTTAGGTTCCGATTCTGCTCTAGATCTATCTAAATTGTTAATGTTATTAATACTTTCATCTGTATGTGTCATCTCAGTGCACACTACGGTCGCACTAGGAATGTCCAATGAGACCAAGTCAAAGGATGGTGCTTCAATTTTGGATACCTCATTACTAATACTAGAACTAGCTGGTGTAGTAGAAGTAGTAACAATATTCCTAATAGTAGGGGCGTCAATAATAAAGGAACTAACAATTTCTAACTTCATCTCGTGATTAATATTAAGTGGATTCACGTCAGCAGTTCCTTCCTTGGAATAATTAGAGCTAATATGATTCGAGTCTGTAGTACTAGATCTAGATCTAGATCTAGTAGTCACATTTATTTCATCTACAGTGGTAACAGTGGGCAATTTCATTTGTATCCGTGTCCGCTTATTGAGTGAACACACAGAATTGGTATTTATTAGATCTAGATTATCTAGATCTAGTTTTCGTTTACGATCATGATGATCATTCATTTTCAAATTGTCTCTTGTCACCTTGTTTCAATGTTTGTGTTTTCTAATCTCTAGTGACTAGTCAGACTAGTGGCACTCTAAGTCATCTAGTCTAGACAGTCTAGACTCTAGATCTAGATTTCTATTATTATTCGCTAAAACAATATTAATATATATTAAACATTAGGCTTAACACTTAACAGCAATAAATAATATTAGATTCTAGATAGAATTTCGATCTAAATCTCTAACAAGTCTAACAGTCAGTTAGGTAACCTTTGTTTGGAATTCGAGGTATAAATAAATGAAAACAAGAATTGGTGTTCCGGGATTTTCCGGTTTTAAAAGCGGACTAAACAAATACAGTAAACAATCTTACCTTCGCTGATTATTTGTTTGTATTACGGAGTTATATTGTTAAATGCTGTTATTATATTAGTATTTTTACCAATAATTTTCTCAAATATAGTAATTATTTTGGGTCATATTTACAACATGTATTAGCTCACACTGAAATATGTTAGACCATTTTTTTTTTAATTTAATAATCGGAAAATTCCAATAATTGACAAAATTGTTTCCCTTTTTTTCTCTTCAAATTATCTGAAGATAATTTTGCTAAAAATTAAAAACTATAGGCCTTTTCATGTTGTGGTCCCTGAAATATGTTAACTCTACTTTATCTGCCCAATGGACCCTTTTAACTACCAGTTCGCAAGAGGTTACTTTACTAACAGAAGCATGAAAGGTATCCTTGTGATACTTTTAAAACCAATTAATATTGAAATTATTTTTAAACCAATCAATATTGAAATTAATGAAATTGGCCCATTCATATGAAAACTAAAAGGATACATGAATAAAAAGGGGTGATTTTCAAGAAGCAAACTCATTTATTACACTTCTTTTTTAAATAGATTAGAATCGTGTTAAAAAAAGAGTTAAACGTCAAACCAACATAAACAATGTGTATAAAATAGAAAGGAAAATTAGTGCTTTATAAAAGAAACAGTGATTGATTTTTTAAAAATTCATCAAACATTTAATTCAGCCAAAATTTATGTCACGATGCATTGTGAAATGCATTTTCAGAAATCAGAATTTTGCCTAAAGTAATTCTTCTGTTAGTCTAACACAGCCAAACACCTTCCCATCCAACAATTACTGGGCTCTGATCATAATTATTTTTAAACAAACTGTTGCCAGTTACTTATATTTAATTTTCTACTATATAATTTTGCTAGGTGTATATGTAGAACTGAGTTCCACCACAGAATTCACCTGTCAATATTGATGTTTTTATCAAACAATGTAGCCTTGAAATATTTCCCTTTTTTCATAAACTATAGGACACTAATAATATTTTATTTTCCAAAAATCATTGTCCTTGAAAATTACTCTTTCACTTTCTATCTCTGCATGACCCCTGCTACTTTAAATATTAAATATAACATAATATCCAAATTTTTAAACATAATCCCTTTACTTTTACAATTTGTATTGTTATTATTAAGTTACTGAAAGGAAGAAAAATTCATTGATATGTCAGTGTAGGTGTAAACAATATTTTATTCAAAATTTTGCCCTTAAGGTCAACTGAAGGGAACAGATTTTTCTTTTTATTTTCTTACTAAAAGGAAATGAGATTCGTTGATAGGCCAAAGTAAAAGTAAACAATATTTAAACAAGAACAAAATTTTGTCAACAGAAGAAAACATATTTTTAAAAATATTTTCTTTATTTTAAGCAAAAAAAATTAAATTGCATACCAATATATTTTCTTTAATACATAAAATATCAAGTATAACATTTTATTAAGCTTTGATTATTTGATTTTTTTTAAAATTAGCTGCATACAAATTTCAATATAAAAAATTATCATTCATGTAAATGGAAAATAATATAAAATATTATTTTTTAGTTTTTATATTTTTAAAATACCACTGCATAAATGATTTCAAAATATACAATGTAATGTTAAAAAAAAAAATTACCATTGGCTTTTGATTATTAGATTTTTAAACAAATACTTCATGGACATGTTATTATATTTTATTATGTGCAATTCATATTTATACAGGCCTACACAAAATATAATGTAAACAAAAACTAATTGAGCTCTAAATTATTAAATCTATCACATGCAAATAGGTATAGAGAAGCACTTAAAGATGCAGAAATGTCCTCTATTAATATAAAATATAAACTTATTTATTGTGGGTTTTTTTAATTTTGTTGTGCATATTGTTTAAACTTATTTTTTTTAAAAATAAGTTGATAGTCAATATTATGCTGGGATTTATCAAATTCGCCTCATGTTATTCTTTAGGAAAGGCATAACCGGTGTAGTTACTGTCTGTGTTCCCTCCACTGTGAGGGAAGTCACATGACAAGTCATGAGATCCATTGATGAAAACAGTGGCACCACTACTGCCAGGACATGTGCATGCATTAAATTTGTATTTGATTAGGGTTTCAGAATTTACAATAGTGTAATACTTAACATAATCATCATCCTCGCGATCATCGAATTCTTCATGATTATAATCCTCATCAGGATCTTCAAAGTCAGCTTGATTATAATCATTATCAGGATCTTCTAAGTCAGCTTGATTATAATCCTCATCAGGATCTTCAAAGTCAGCTTGATTATAATTATCATTGGGATCTTCTAAGTCAGCTTGATTATAATCATCATCAGGATCTTCAAAATCAGCTTGATTATTATCATAATTGGGATCTTCTAAGACAGCATGATTATAATCATCATCAGGATCTTCTAAGTCAGCATGATTATAATCATCATTTGGATCTTCTAAGTCAGCTTGAACACAATCAATATTAGGATAATCTACGTCTTGATAAGCATAATCATCATTGGGATCTTCTATGTTTCCTTGATCATCATTTAAATCATATAAGACTTCCTGATAATATACATCATCGCGATCATCAAAGTCTTCCTGATAATAATCATCATCGCGATCATCAAAGTCTTCAAAATTATAACCATCAACATCTTCTTGATTATAATCATCATAGTGATCGCAATCTTCATTATAATCATTTTCTAGATCATAGTTTAAATCACCAACTTCCAACTGACATACTTGTGTATGCGTTTGTTTGATTTCGCTCATCTGCTCCGTCCACTCACCAATAGAAATGTGTTTGGGACAGCCGTGAGGGTGAGACACTAGCACCACCAGCTTCACGAGTTCACTTCCTGCCTGCAACTCTTTGATCACCTTCTCCCGACAAATTCTGTAGCGATGTGTCATGTTCAGTAACTTGTCAATCAACTCCACATCATGAGTAATGCAAGTGACCTTTGATGTGTCTCCGTCTATGTCAGAATTTGCTCCCAGCCCAGAAAAATCAACCCAGGATCTAACCTCGTCACTGTCATATCCCCATCTGAACATTGCCTGTTCGGCTTCATCAGTATCAAACACAACATGAGCTGCTGTATAAACTGTTATCAAACCCCATGTTTTATGATGAGACTTGGAATTCTTACAAGATTCACATGGACATTTCTTATCACCTTCTTCTGTCTGTTTTATGATAGAATGGACTCGTCCTGTTCCATATCTAACACACATTTTATTTTCTCCCCTGTCTTTATAACCAGGGTATGGACTCCCCTTATGAGTTTCTGGCCTACGTAAGCTTACGTTAAAGGTAGTTATCCTTACAGTGAGAAACGCCATTGCTTTTATAAACTTTACCATACATTTTTTCCTAAACTGCTCAGGTAGTTTGTCAATGCTGAAATCTTTCACAGGCACAAACTGGTCATGGCAGGGATTTTTCCTGCAGTTGTCTGAATATTCTTGTAGTTCTATTTCTGGATCATAAGTTACGTCAGCTTCATACTGGGTTGGTCCTGAAAATATATATTTTTTAAATGTATTTATATTTATATATATATATAAATATAATATATATATATATATATATATATATATATATATATATATATATATATATATATATATATATATATATATATATATATATATATATATATAATATAAAGGTTCTAATTTGGGTTCGGTCGAGCCCCAGGGGTTCAGTGAGGCAGTCTTTAGACCTATAAATAGTTGGCCTATATTTAACAGTACATTTAAATTCAGCAGTTGATTAAAATAAAAATGTATACTTAAATTTAGCTATAGATCTAAATTTTAAACATAATTAGCATTTAAAATAGTTATAGTGTATTGTGTAGTGTTTCTATGAATGTAGTTCTAGGGCCAGATCTAGAGTACTTAGTTTTAGTCTTCAATACTTATTGTATGAAATAAATACAATATGATTTTTTATATAAAATATTAGTTACCTCACCTGAACATTACTAATTTGCCGAATTGATTATCCTAAAATCCTAAAACAATAAATTACCAAAATATAATTAATAAAATAGTATAGAATAAGTTGAATAAGATCTAGAATTAAAATCTACTATCTAGATTAGAATTAGATCTTTATATTATTATTACTTTTGGCTGCAAATTGTTTAAACTTTGTTAAACTGACTAACAATTTTACCTACTTTCAATTAATTTAAATGTTAGGCCTACATTATACACTTTTAGATAGATCTATATCATATCATATAGGCCTACAGGAGTATAAACCTAAAATAATCAATTAAAATAAAGTTAAGCCTATTAGTATTCATGTTGACTGACCTAGGCTAAATAAAATAATCAAATAAATTACCAGAGTTTGGCCTATTCGCTGTCAGATCTGTAGGAGAGAGTGGTTTATTGCTAATGTTCAGGTTTAATTTATTGTTAGGCTGTTTGCTAACAGTGACCGTAATACTAGCATCATCAGTAACAGCATCTTCTTGACCTGGTGAAGATTCTGTAGATTCCACTTGAGATCTTTCCGTGGGATACTTGTTATGATTCCAATCTGTAGGGCTTTCGTTTACAGGTGGTGGTTTGATGTTAGAAATGTCTTCCTCTTGACTGGACATTTTGACTTGGTCTCGTGTAGTTGTTGATTCTGTCATTCAAAAATGATTCATTTTGCAGTTAACACATTTTTAAAATTATTATAAATTATTTTAACTAGGAAAATGACTTGCTTTGAAAGTCAGTGCAGGCCTTTCTAATATATTATAGATCTATATTGAATTATATTATATTGCCATTGCATATTCATATTGTTAATTGTTTTCAGAGGTGGGCCTATTTTAAATTTTACTATTTTAATTTTTTGTTGACATCACTAACTTGATTCTAAAAGGTTACACGTAGATCTAGAATCTAGATCTAGTAGTCCTAACACGAGCTAATAGTGTAACAAACCAAAAAAATGTTAAGCTTAGATTTCTGCAGCCTGATTCATAAGTGAAACTAAAACAATTTTTTGATAAATTTAAATCCATTACCTGTTCGGGTTTTCCCAGTACAATGGGTATTTTAAAAATTAGACATCTAACTCTAGACTGTAGATTCTATATTTCTTTGATTGCTGTTGCTCAGTATCAGAGGCGTAGCGACCCTTCCCGGCGCCCGGGGCGAACTTTCAATTTGGCGCCCCCCCCCCCCCCCCCGCTTATATATATATATATATATATATATATATATATATATATATATATATATATATATACATATATATATATATATACATATATATATATATATATATATATATATATATATATATATATATATATATATATATATATATATATATGTGTGTGTGTGTGTGTATAATTATGTGTGTGTGATAGTGTGTTTATATATAAGCTTGTGTGTGGGTAAGAGTGTATTTGTGTGTGTAAGCGTGTGTGTAAGCGTGTATGCTACAGTCCGGACAAGGTTTAATAATTACATTGTATGATTTTCATTCCTTAAAACTTTACGACAATCTAATTCCCATTAAGATGCGTTTAACTTTTTTTGCGAAAGATTAGTAATGTCAGTTAAAAAAAATAAGCCTGATCTGTGTTAGAGGGTAGTTTGTAGCTAACGCTAATATGTTTAGACCAACCTTTTATGTTCTAGTTTTGAACGATCTCTGTTGTGATATGGTACATAGTTGGATTCGAAGTTTGTTAGAGTAAGGACACACAAGTGACATACAAGAAGAAGTTATCAGAAATATTTATTGTTCACATTGGAATACGACATGGGTATTTCGTTGATTGGTTGATGGTATGACAAAACAAGCTAGAGAAAACAAACTGGAATCCAACGGATGTTAACAGCTCGTAGTCTTGGATTTCGCAGATTTGCCCTGCCTTCTCGCACACAGTTTCTTCCAGGCATCTTTTCGGGGGGGCGAAGCCCCCCGGAAAAATTTTTACGCCCCCCCCCCCCCCGAACGAAATGAAATTTATATAATTTATATATAGAAAATATATACTTTTAACAGTGTCCGCCCCCCCCCCGAAGAAAGTTTACCGCCTCCCCCCTCCCCCCGAAGATTTCAAGTGCCCCCCCCCCCCCCCCGGAGAAAAAAGTCTGGAAGAAACACTGATCAAAAGTATCTGATCTCTCACGTTGAAGTTGAGAGAATCGTAAGAATCTTACAAAGAACTAGTCGCGTCTTTTTTTTAACAAAACTGGCTGTTGAAATTGTACATTACGCGTTAATACACTTGGTTTCTTTACTAAGTGTTAAGAGAGTTATCTACTCACCAATCCAGTACAAATACTTACGATTTTTGTTAGCGAAAAAAGCGCCCCCCCCCCCCCACCCCCACACACACTCATCACAACCATCTTGGACAAAGTTTGTAGAGCGGTTTTTAACGTAACTAACTTTTTAAAAAAAAATGTTACACAATTATACAATGCACAGTACAATTCGTTTCTTTCTGAGAGCTAAAGGTTGTTTACTCAGAATCCTGTGTAATTTTGCTATTTTATTTAGCCTAAAAGCGCCCCCCTGCACCATCTTGATAAAAGTCACTAACGTATTTTACAGTTCAACAATCGTACAATACGTTTTAATACAATTGGTTTCTTTTAATAGTGGTAACGTTTATCGACTCAACAATCTAGTGTAAATTCTTCCGTTAAGTCTCGAAAAAGCGCCCCCCCCCCCATCTAGGATAAGCTTCAAAGCGGTTTTGCCGGTCATTGTTTCTTAAGAGTATATGTTTTACATTAAGAAATCAAGATAGAAAACAGTTAAATCAGTATGTAAATGCGTGTAGCCATTACATTTCTTAACTTAGACAGTTTATAATTCAAAACTGCAGCATAAAATCAGCTTTAAAAAAAATTTCCCACCCCTTTTGGCGCCCCCATAGGGTCGGCGCCCGGGGCGGCCGCCCCCCCCCCCCCGCCCCCCCCCCCCCTAGCTACGCCTCTGCTCAGTATCAATTAAAATGATATCAAGCCATCATTTTTATCAGTCTATTTTTTTTCAAAAAATTTAAGAGTTCTATTTACAAACTTTAACAGTATGATAACACTTAGGGCCTATTAAACTTAATTTCGTTTTATTTTTTTAATAATTATTTTTCGTAGGCTATAAATCGGAAAATTCCAATAGATTGGCCAAGGAAATCAGATTTCAGAATCTAACAATCATAACGAAACAATTATCTAGTAAACATTTTATTTTCAGAAAGAGGTCGGTACGTGTAATCACAGTCTGAAGTCTAGCATTGACACATATTTTTGGATTTTGACCACCTGCGTTGATAACTGTCGATTCCATTCTGCAAATAGGCTTTAGCGTTACGTAAAAGAATAGTGTTATACTTTGTTTTATATGTTCATTTATTGTTTCTTTGTAATAATAATTACTTGGAAGTTTGTCGTAATTTGGACAATGGGCATTTTTTTGAAGTGGCGTAGCGGGGAAAGGGGGACATATGTCCTCGGGCGCCGACCTTAGGGGGGCAACAAAATGGCTGGAAAAATAAATTGAAAGTTTGAGAAGGGGGTGCAAATGAAAAGTTCGAGGGGGGGGGGGGGTGCAAATCGAAAGTTTGAGGGAGGGGGGGGTTGCAAATCAAAAGTTCGAGGGGAGGGGTGTAAATCGAAAGTTTGAAGGGGGCGCAAATCAAAAGTTCGAGGGGGCTGTAAATCGAAAATCGAAAGTTTGAGGGGTGGGGTGCAAATCAAAAGTTCGAGAGGGATGCAAATCATCGAAAGTTTGTCCCCGGGCGCCGGGAAGGGTCGCTACGCCTCTGGACTAGGGAAGGGGATCGTTCAAATGCTTAACGTCATTTACATACGATTCCTAACCTTCCTAACCTTGTGGTGTTGTACGTCACATTGTAGGGAGAGGGGCCAGCTCTAGAGCTACTAGCATGGGCAAGAGAAACGGGCTCAAGAAACAAGGTGCTTTTTCCCCACTTTGAAAATTTTAAACTTTTACATCGGAATTTGAATATTAAAAAAAAATTTAACATATTTAAAAAAAAAAAAATAGAAATAAACTTTTTTTTTCTTGCTGTAGAAAACATTTTAAAATTTATAAATCCTTCCCTAGTGTACAGACAGTGACATGTAGAGGTGGAGGGGGCAAACGGGGCCTAGTTCGCTGCACACTCCAAGCCAGTGCAGTGATTGTGTGTACGGTGTATCTTCCAGAGTTTTATTTCGAGGGGGGGGGAATCGGACAATGTTAAAAGTATGTATTTTCTATATAAATTCCACTTCGTCCGGGGGTACACTCCCCCCCCCCCCCCCCCCACGAAGAGATGCCTGTAAGAAACACGGATTGTGTAGTGTAAAACTATAACTTAACTCATTTTTTTGGGATCGGTCACCTAGTAGATGTAGCCTACCCTACATGCATCGTTACAAACCTCAACTGACGGAGAAATTTCCTACCCACCCCCCCCCCCCCCCCCAACTGTGGGGAGCAGAAATGCCAGAGAGAAAATAAATAAGACTCCTGGGGAGGTATCTGCCATTAATTTTTATTTATTTTAGAGGGCGGTGCCCGGCAGTAGAGTACGATTGGGCGCCCTTGATCTATTTTGTAAACACCGTGGAAGACGCGACTAAATGTATTATAAAAAACACAAGACGTAAACTTGGTCGATAAAAATAGATTTCATAGCCTTACTTTTTGTGACACTAAAGTGGTTATGGAACATAAGACAGAAGGATAAGAGTGCTTGGATAAAAAAACATGACGTACATTTTTTTTAAATTTATTCTGGCACTCGTGAAAGCACTAAAATTTCAGAGACTAGACTAAAATTTTCACCAAATTTAAACAACCACAACTGACTTGTAATAGAAAGAATTCTATCCATTTACTAATACGTTTTTTCACAGACACACACCCACCTTGCACTTTGTGAATAAACGTACTTTGGCCCAGAATGTACTTAAAGTATAATACTCTCTGAACAAGGTCAGAAAAAAAAATATATATATGTTGAATTGTATAGTCTGTTTTTTTTTTTGTTTGTTGTTGTTTTTTTTAGTTATATATTTTTAGGACTTATATGTGTAGGTAAAGTACTTATATCGAAACCTGGATGTCTATAAAACTTCGTTCCGTTAAATTAGCTCTCATTTATTTTTTTTATTTTTAAGCCGCTCTTTTCAAAGGTAGTTGTGAATTAGCAGTCGCGTTTATTTTTCTGAGCTTTACTGATAAAGATACTACCAGCTTACGCATCATAACGCAGATCTAGACTTAGCCTTAAAAATGTAAATGTAAACAGATATCATAACCGAAAGTAAAACAAAAAGCGTTAAAATATCATCGTCCATTGTTTACTAAAGCAGGAAAACAATTGTTTCACGTTGAATATTTTTAGACAGCTTCATTTTATTCCTTCGAAAATGGGGACCATACTTATGCACAGGTAATTTCTACTTTTCACCACAACGCGATCAGTGCAAAGGTATGACAATGTTTTGTAACTGTCTTTAGTATGTACTGCAGTAGATAAAGCATTGGGCGGTTAAGCACATGGTTGCTAACCTGAGTGAACGTTGTTCGATCCCGCGGGCCAGTGGCGTAGGCAGGGAGGGTTGGGGGGGGGGGGTCATAACCATCTCCCCATAGACCCCTCGGTATATAGAAAAAGAATGAGGGAGGGGGGGGGGGTGCAAATCGA